CTGCGGTGCCCCTCACTCCCGACCCGCAGCCCCCTGCCAGCCCTGCGGTGCCCCTCACTCCCGACCCGCAGCCCCCTGCAGCCCTGCCGTGCCCCCCCCAGCTCTGCCGGTGCCCCTCACTCCGACCCGCAGCCCTGCCGTGCCCCCTCACTCCGACCCGCAGCCCTGCCGTGCCCCTCACTCCGACCCGCAGCCCCTTGCTTGTCTCTTCTAACTCTTTCTCTGCTCTGTTCTCAGTGGCGTATGAGGAGTTACTGGATGACCGGAAGCTAGAAGGTCATTTAAATTACAGGCACAAGGGGCTCAGTAGGTGGCGCCGTGGGGCAGGGGCTCAGGAGGGGGCGCCGTGGGGCAGGGGGTGGGGGGGGCTGGGCAGGGGGCGCCGTGGGGTAGGGGCTCCGTGGGGCAGGGAGCGGGGGGGCTGGGCAGGGGGTGCCGTGGGGAAGGGAATGGGGGGGGCTCGGCAGGGGGCGCCGTGGGGCAGGGTGGGGCTCTCCCCTGGCCGTCAGTGCAGGTCCCAGTGCGGCACGAGGGGGTGCTGCAGGGAACGGAACAGGGATGCTGTGATGTCATTGGTTTTGTCCTCTCTGATTGGCCGCCTGTCTCTGCGCAGTCACCCAGACGACAGACCCCTCCCACCAGATGGAGGGGGGTAACATCGCCCTGGCGATCTTCCTGCCAATCATCCTGGTCATTCTCCTGATTGGTGGCATTTACGTCTATTACACCAAGTAAGCCACAGCCAATGAGGAGGGAGGGTATGGCAGCTGGGAGGCGGGGCTTGGGGCTCTTAAAAGGACAGGGTGGCCAACGGGGCCGTGCACTTAGTCACTGGGAGGCGGGGCCCGTGAATCTTAAAAGGACATGGTGGTCATTGAGGGCGGGGCTTTGGAGTCTTAAAGGGGAGGGTTGGAATGAGGGTGGAATGATATTCGTTGGGGGTGGAGCTTGAGACTCTTAAAGGGGCGGCGGCCCCATCGCATGTAGGGTGTGGCTGGGTCCCCCATGTCGGTCTCACCCCCCATGTCTCTGTCCCAGGTTCCAGGGCAAGTCCTTGTTCGGCTTCTCGTTCTCCAGCTCCCACAGCTACAGGCCCATCACCGTGGAGTCCGACTTCAGCAACCCCCTCTACGAGGCTGGGGTGAGCCGCTCCCCACAGGAAACCGAATGCCCCGTGGCCCCACCCCTTCCCCCGAGACCCCGCCCCCACTCCCTCCAGCCCCCACTCCTTGTCGCTCGCTCTCCCCCCTCTCACTGTCACAGGGCTGGAGCAGGGATTGGGGTGCACAGGGGGGAGCTATTGGCTGGGGGGCTGTGCTGGGAACAGATGGGGGGCTGTGTGGGGGGCAGCTGTTGGCCAGGGCGATGGGAACGGATGGGGGGGCTGTGTGGGGGGCAGCTGTTGGCCAGGGCGATGGGAACGGATGAGGTTGGCTGTGTGGGGGGAGCTGATGGCCGGGGGGATGGGAACGGATGGGGGGGGCTGTGTGTGTGTGGGGGAGCTGTTGGCCAGAGCGATGGGAACGGATTGGGGGGCTGTGTGGGGGGAGCTGTTGGCCGGGGCGATGGGAATGGATGGGGGGGCTGTGTGTGGGGGGGAGCTGTTGGCCAGGGCGATGGGAACGGATGAGGGGGGCTCTGATTCTCCAAATGATGCTGTTTCCCCTGTCTCTGCCCCCCCAGGACACCAGGGAATACGAAGTGTCCATCTGACGGGGCCCTGTCCCCCGTCCGGAGCGAGGGGGCGTCTTGCAGAAGGGAAGAGACGACGTGGGGGGGTAAAGGGGGGCAGCGCGTGGAGGAGGGGCCATGTCCTATCTCTCTGCTCACGCCATCCCAGAATGCCTTGCTCCCCCCCACCTCCCCTCCCACTTTGTACATATCCAGGTCCATGTGCCAACGCTCACAGTTTTCTGCTTCGGTAATTAATTAATTTATAACCCCGTCCCCAGTTATTTATTTATTTATTTATTTAATTTATTTATTTACTCAACCATGGCTGGCAAGGGTGGGCGGGGGGAGGGGGCTGTCCTGCCGTCCCGCCCCCCAATCCCCCTTCTTGGGTGGTGGGAGCTGCCGACCCTACAAAAACAACTGTTGTCGGAAACCCTACAGTAACAAACAACCCCACACAGCCCTGCGGCTCTCAGGAGGCCCTACAATAATGTAGGCCCACTCTGCAATAACCATGCACAAAGCCCTGCGGCTCACAGGGCCCTGTAGTAACCAGGGAGTGCCGCCGCCTTGAGGTTTGCAGGAGACCGTACAATAATATATTAGCACGCAGAGTTCTGGAGCATGTAGCAGACCGCCTGAGAGACCACCCAATAACAAACCAGGCCTCTTCCCCCCCACCCCCGCCTTGTGACGCTGACCTTCCCTTTAAGGAAAAAGCCAGAGGATATTTATCCCTTGCTCCTTGTCAGGATCTCCTTAAATGATAAATACCTTCCCGTGTTTTATACCGTATCCCTTTAAGGGCATTCAGGGTAGGAGGCTGTAGCTGTTTAAAGGTAAAAATAATTCCCCATTGCTCCTTTTAGGCATAAAATGCAGGGGAGAGACAGTTACTCCTGAACTCATCCCTTTAAGGGTAAAAGAGGCAGGAGGGCATTTATTTTCACAATGCTCCTTTAAGGCTAAACATAATTCTTAATCATTACCTTTAAGAGTAAAATACTGGCCCACAGATACTCCTGAACCCACCCCTTTAAGGAGTCAAAAAAGAGACAGGAGGACACTGAGTTAAACATCATCCCTTTAAGGATAAAACATATTTAGAACTGACCCCTTCCCCTTTAAGGGTTAAAACACAGGAGGATATTTAGTTGAACAGCATCCCTTTAAGGATAAATGCAGGGGGGATATTTACTTCTATATTCACCCCCATGAGGATAAAAAACAGGAGGACACTTATCCTTAAAGGGATGCTATTCAAAGTGTCCTCCTAGCTGTGTTATTCTTAAAGGGATGGGTACAGCCGTGTATACCCCCCTGCGTTTTGTCCTTAACGGGACGTTGCCAGAATGAAATGAAGGGAGACAGTGACATTGCCTTTAAAGAGTGACATGTAGGAGGATACATATTCCTCTGCTACGTCCCTTTAAATGCCTTTCAACCCGGGGAGACGGGGGCGGGGGGGGAGAATCGGCTCTTCCCTGACACACCCGGGTCCCTGGTGGCTCACCCTGGGGGGTGGTTAGGCCCCTTCCCCTCCCATGCCCCCCCTTCTACCCCTTCCCCCCATTGTCCTGTTTTTCCATTTGCTTTTATTTTGGAGCAATAAATAAACTGCACCATTTGTAAAAGCCGCGGGGTCTGCGTCTCCTGGTGCCTGGGGGGTGGGGGGGAGGCGGGGTGGACGTAGGTCCCCTGCCCTGGGGCTGTATCAGAGCCGGCGCCCCCTGCTGCCTGGAGCCAACCAGACACCCCCCCGCAGAGAGAGATCAGGGCGCCGGCCCCGGAGGGAGGGTTGGGCGTAGGCATGTGGCTCCTAGGGCTGCAGCAGTGGGGATGGTGCCGGTCAGCCCTGTTCTAGGCTGGGACCGGGGCAGGTGGGTTGATCCCCCCGAAATAAGGGGATAAAGACGTTGGGACACCCTGAGCCGAGGGCTGCAAGGGGCCCAGAGCTGGGGCTGGAGCCGCGATACCAGGGCGCTGCACTTTGGACTTTCTCATGCCTGTGGAAGGGTGGACTTAAATCGAGGGGCAGCGGGGAGCCTGTTGGAGGGGAGCTTCTGGCGGGGTGGAGCTGCTGTGCCACACCCGGCCAAGAGGAGGCGCTGTAGCGCTGAGTTGACTCATCACAGGGCACAAAGGGGGCCAGGAGGGGGCACAGCTTCACGCTCTGGTCGGCATCTGCAGAGACCAATTTGGGGCCCTATGTGAAGGGAGAGAATTGGTGCAATTCCCTGGGGGCAGGCTGGTTGTTTATAGTGTGTACAGGGTGTGGGCCTGTGGAACTCCCTGCCGCAGGATCAGCCCTGAGCAATAGTGGGGGGCTGATCATGGTTGGTGCAGGCCCAGACTTTTTGGTGCTAATTTGCATGTGCTTGGGAGGCAAAGGTGGAAACCTGCTGAAATGTGTTTGGTTGGCATTCATATTTTGCAGCACACCATGATATTCCCGAATCAATTTGTTTTGCAAAGTTCAAAAAGGCCCCAGTTCTAACTATATGGCCCTGTATTTCTGCCTCAATAAATAATTCAATTGCAAACAAAAGTTTGGTTGTGGGTTTTTTTTAAAACTAATTGAAGGCTTTTTGGTCAAAGGAAAAAAAAACTGTAGGGGAAGCCCCCTCCGTGTTAATACAAAGGTAAGAATGATCAAATTGTAACTGTTGCTGAGGTTTGTATGTGCTTGTTTGCACCTTGATTACATATTAAAATGGAGAACTAAAATGTTTCCCAATACTGCCCTCTATATTATGTCTGGTTCTGCTGCAAAATGTTCCTGCGAACCAACCAAACGGCAGCAGGTTTTTCCATCTTTGTCTCCCAAGTACGAGCAGATTAACTCTGGAGAGCCTGGGTCCAACTCCCACTGCGAACTCTTGTGCTAAAGCAGATGGCTCAGCGGGGGAGGCCCACCCGGGTGAGCTTTTAGCACTGGGTTTATTATGGCAAACTAGCAATGCACCTTGGTCGGGAAGTACCAATGACTCTTGTTGCAGAAGCTGCAAAAAGTGTCTAAACCAGGAGCGTTTGCGCTAAAGAATTGGGGGGAAATCAGAGCAAAAAATCAAAAATGTATTTTAATAATAAAAAAAGAGAGAGAAAGCAGGCCGCGCGTCTGTCCCCTGCTGTGTTAAAGTCCAGCGTGTGTTATAAATGATTCGGTTGCTATTACAGTGTATGCAATTGTGTGTATCAATTTGGGTTAAAAACGGGGTAAAAAACAAAAATCCAACAACATTATGTTACCCAACTGAGGCTGCACCTACAGAAACATTACAAAGACCCAGAGCTGGTCCAGTTCTAACTGTTACTTAACCCGTTTGTGATTAAGCGGGGTGAGTTCATGCGGATACCTGTGCTTTCGAATCTCTCTCGTTGACGTCCGGCAGAACTTGATGATGGCGTCCAAGCAAATGTATCATTACTGTGGACGTCTCTGTTAATTACTCAAAAAGCCTCTTCTCAGCAAGGCACGCAACCCTCCAGGGCCGCCCGGGGGGTGCAAGTGGGGCAATTTGCCCTGGGCCCCACAGGGCCCCCCTGGGCTCCTCCACGATTTTTTTGGGGCCCCTGGAGCGGGGTCCTTCACTCGCTGCGGGGCCCCCGGAGCTTCTTCTGCTCCGGGTCTTCGGCAGCAGGGGGTCCTTCTGCTCCGGGACCCGCCGCTGAAGTGCCCTGAAGACCCACGGAGGGGGGTCCTTCTGCCCCGGGACTCGCTGCCAAAGTGCCGGGTCTTCGGCGGCAATTCGGCGGCGGGAGCCCCCCGCTGCCAAAGACCCCAGGCCCCCTGAATCCTCTGGGAGGCCCTGCAACCCTCAAGGGCTGGGCAAAACACGACAGTAGACCCTTGGAGTTACGAATACCTTGGGGATGAGGTTGTTCATAACCCTGAACAAAACATTCTGGTTCTTTCCGAAGTTTACAACTGAACATTGACTTAACACAGCTTTGAAACTTTACTATGCAGAAGGAAAATGCTGCTTTCCCTTGATTTTGTTTTTTACTAGTTTACGTTTAACACAGCACTGTTCTGTACAGTATTGTTTTTGGTCTCTGCTGCTGCTTGATTGTGTACTGCCAGTTCCAAACGAGGGGTGTGGTTGACCGGTCAGTTCGTAACTCTGGGGTTTTCTTAACTCAGAGGTTCTACTGCATCATGGGATCTTTCAAATAGGAAACCCCAAGCCTAGGTGGAACGAGTGGTTATGTGTCCGGATGATTTGAATCTGGAATATCTATTTGGGACAGAGGTCATTTGAAAAATATATTGATCTCCCGACCCCTGTATTAACTATTCTGAGCATCGGGCTGTGGAATCAGCACCACAGGATTAGGAGTCTCACCCCCAGAACCCAAGACCAAACGGGAATCGTTTATAACCCAGTGGAGACTGGCTTTAACCCCGTCACTCAAGGCACTGAGGGCTGCCTGCTAGCCCTGCAGTACGTGGTGTGTAATATGTGTGACACTGCCAAGCTGCTTAACCGCACGCAAGCAACATCGAATGAATAATTAATAATTACTAATACTTAATTGCAAGAGATAATTAAAAGGTAAAGAAATGATTTCTGCTGCATCTGGGCGTTATGTGTGAACTACCCCGACCAACTCGCCAGGGAGCATTGGCCAAGGAAAATCGCCTGAACTTCTTAGCCAGCAGCGGTGAGCTGGTGCTGTCCTCAGCGTGTTTCATCACACATCCAGCCCACCCCCCCAGCTTCATATATTACTCTGCAAAGGTGCCACCTTAACTGACAATTATCAAGGCCACAAGCAGGCCCTGTTGCTGGCCTGTGTATACACGTCATATTAATAATATGTTGTCCACACCATAGCTATATTAGTGTGCATTAAGCACAAGTAGCATTAAGCACTAATATTACAGCCGTTAGAGAGCCTATGGTTTTTAAATAACACTGCTTGTTTATGCTCAGTTTCCCATAACCCCTTGCATTCACTGAAGCTTTTGCCTTAAATGAATAGGGGTGCTGTGACGACCAGGACAGAGGAGTGTTTTAGGTTAGCAACAGGCAAACGATTCCCCTCCCAGGCCTGCAATGCAGGTGCTCAAAAGAAAGCCATCTGGGGAACACACCCCGGGATCAGAGACAACGGGAGAAGGCAGAGTGGTTAAAGCTACTTTCAGATGCTGTACGTAGTACCTTGCACTCGTAAAGAGGCGGGTATAAAAAGCTGGCTTTAGGGGAGTAACTTGGGGAGCTCACTTTCTGCGTCAGGTGAACGTAACAACACTGCACAAGACGGCTTCCCAGAGACCAGCGTCTTATGGACTCTTTCCTGTAGGAGATTATTACTGGCTTAGCACAATAAACCCAACCAACGCTGGTTAGTTGGTCTCTTGACTATTTGCTTACAAACCAAAGTGCGGCCAAGGAATGGACTATACAATTTATCAACAAAAACCAAATGAGTCTTTTACTTACCACTGGAGACACCAGGATCAAGACGAAGCCAAATCATCACAGTGATTAACCCCAGCGGTTTTAGTATTAATAAAAACATTGACAAACCAACGCCAATGACCGAACACAACTGCTAAACTGGCGCCGTCCATTCCAATCTCTTCTGGGTGTCTCGCCGTGGAGAGCTTTTGGCAGAGATGGTGGCCTGAAGAGTGAACCCGTCTGTGACGGGATCCCCAGGGTGCAGCCTGGGACTGTGGGACTGCTGTGCCCCCTCTCTCCAGCCTGGGCTGTCTCCCACAATGCCTTGCTAGTGATCAGCAGCAAACCCCTCCAGGCACTGTGATCACTCAGCACAATCACATGTGGAGCCCCACACCCAGCTAGATTGCACGAATGTCCCAGAGCCACTCACGAATCACACAGAGAAAGGCACCAGCCAGATCCTCCCAGCCTTGCACCACAGGAATGTACCATCTTGAGCAGTGCACATTTATTAATTGGTTCCCCACTTCTGCAATGGAGAGTGGACATACACCAGCCTTTGTGAAACCTGAGCAGATTTACCACACACTTCATACAATCTCACTGGGAAAGATAAACAGTAAAACAAATGTATTGACTACAAAAGATAGATTTTAAGTGATAGGCAAAAAGTCAGTTACCAAAAGAAATAAACTATAAGCACGAGTCTAAACTCTCAACCCTGTTAGACTGGGCAACATTGAGATTACGCAGTTTTACTCACCCTGCAGGATACTGCAATTCATAGTACATAGATTTCACCTTGAAACCTGGGCCAGTCTCCTCTGTTGGAGTTTTCAGATTGTCCTTGTTCTTGCAGCGTAGGTGGGGGGAGGAGAAAGCCCCAGCGTGGGCCCCCTGTGTCTGTTTTATACCCTCAGTCCACGGGCTTGGGGAGCACCAGTCCAGGCATGTCTGGGGGCATTGCTGAGTCCCCAGGCCAGGCTGAGCAATTCCCCTGGTGTGGCCTCATGTAGGTGAGTCATTGCATTGTAGCTCCCTGGCTGGACAATGGGTGGTGATGGTTGTAGCCAACACCTGGGCGGGTGTCGAACTTCCCTTGCTGTTGCCTCTGGGGAGCTAATATCCGGCTGATTCCCCAATTTACAGCATGTTTTAGTGACAACCATACAACACAATTCTCATAACTTCAGATGCGTTAATGATACACATCTATGGATAGAGAA